AAACCCACAGAACATAAAATTCATCCTTCCAGGGATAGAGAGATGGCTCCATGGGTAAGATTCTTGCTGTTCTTCCAGAAGACCTGAATCTGGTTTCCTACCTATGTGGGGTGGCTTACAATTGCCCATAACCACAGTTCCATAAGATGAGATGCTCCCCTGGAGGTACCCCCCATGCACATGGTGTGTGCATGTGCCCACCCACACATGTAAAATTTAGAAAACTAACCACATTAAAGAATAAACATCTAATGGTGTTTAGCAAAGTCACAACACAACCACTCTCTGCACATAATTCCATAACATTTCACCATCTTCAAAAGCCAAGCCTGCAGCCATGAAGCAACTTCCCCCTTTCTTGCTCCTAGCTGCTTAGATTTATGGGTTTGTCTACTCTGAATATTCCATAGGATTGGAATAACACCATATACCATCTCTTTTGTAATTGGCTTCCTTTGCCAGGCGTACTTTTGGAGTTCCTCATATTGCAGCCTGTACCTCTGCCTATTTTTTTTCTATGACTGAATATTACTGTATATATACATAGACCTCATTCTTCTTATCCACTTATGAACTGATGGATATCTGAGCTGTCGACACAGTTTGGCTATTGTGAGCAACGCTGCTATAAATACATGTCTGTGGGTATTTGTCTGAGTACCTGTTTTGAATTCTTCTGTGTCTATTTCTGGGAATTGAATTGCTTCATCATTTGGCACATTTACATTGAAACACTAACCCCACTTCACCCCCATGTGCCCCTTACTGTAAAATTCTCTGCAAAGTTGATACCAAGAAGATGCACATAGGGAGAAGATGAGAAGATGAGGCTGTGACAGGCCCCACGCTCAAAGCCTTGGAAAACATCCAGAGGCTTCCAGAAATACAGCAGACACAATTCGATATATAGGAAGATGATAGAGATGTCACAGAAATTGAAGAAATCACCTCAGGGAGGAACCATCAGTGGCCAGCAAGATGGCTCACCTGCCCACTGCACAAGCCCAGCAACCCAAGTTCCAGTTCCAGAACTCAGGTAAGGGTGGGTGAGAACTGACTCTAAGGATTTATCCTTTGACCTTCAGAGGTACACTGGGGTACAAGCAATCATCCATCCCTCTCTCACTCACACACACAACAATGACGATAATAAGTTTTTAAGAAAGAGAAACCATGTGCTAGTTAGTTTTTGTGAATTTGACACAAACTAGAGTCACCAGCAAAGAGAGAACCTCAGTTGAGGAATTGCCTCTGATTAGCTTGTGGGCAAGTCTATGGGGGTGTTTTCTTGATTAATGATTGATGGGAAGAGCCCAGCCCACTGTGGCTGTGGTACCCCTGGGCAGGTGGCCCTGGGTTGTATAAAAATGCAAGCAATTAAACACCATTCCTCCATTCCAGCTTTAGTTCCTGCTTCAGGCTCCTGATTTGACTTCTCTTGATGATCAACTGTGACCTGTAAGCCAAATAAACCCCTTTCCCCCAGCCAGGTGGCTTTTGGTTAGTGTTCCATCAAAGCAACAGGGAAGCAAAATAGGACAAACCATCAATAATAAATGCTAAAAGGAACTAGAAGTCAAATGAAAAACTGAACATTCCAGGTGCTTGTAACAAATAGAAGTGTGGGATTCCACAGCCTCACTGAGGGCCTGAGCCCAAGGCCTACAGTGCAAGGCAGATGCTCAGCATTTACACCAGTACTCTAAGCCACCCTAGCCCAGAAGAGAAGAGGCCACACATCTTCAATTCTCCCCAGCACCCAGAATGTGTGATGCCAATATCAAAATTACAACTGCAGCTGTCTTTGGGTGGAAGTTTACAGGTCAACAAACAATGCAGTGGCAGCTAAGACTCCCCATAGGAAACTGAATGGTACCCATCCTGCTGACTACAAAGGATCTTGTTAAAATTTTTAACAGCATAGAAAACACTGGAGCACAGCAAACTGTAATTAGCAAAATTGAGCATAATTTAATCAAAATATGCAATAGACTTGCAAGGTCAAAAATTACATAAATAAAGGCTAATTTACTCCCATTTACCTAAACATTATGGAGCAGGTATTTGAGCATGTGTCAGTTGAGGCAGTCACACTTGAATGCCCAGGAAGCATCAGCAAGAAGGACCTTAGACTGAAATGCGGTTTTGCTCTGTTCTACAAACTGACTTGATGCCTCAGGCTCAAGCCATTCTCCTGTCTTGGTTTTCTGAGTAGCTGGGATTACAGTCACAGTCCCATGTGCCTGGTTGGAGGGTGTTTTTAAGGGGTCACTGCCATTGGAATACAGGGATATTTTCAGCATAGAGATGACATCTTTGGGAATGTCTGGGCTCACTGGAGACCTGTGTGGGGTGGTGAGATTCCTCTTTTCACTACTTAAATCTATCTTAGTTTGAAGGAATATTAGATTATAATTTCTTATACAATATTCAACCATCTACAAATCTATATTGGTAAGAAAATATATAATGATTTCCCAGAAAATTATTCTTTTAAAAACTACAACTTTTTCTTCTATATTTAGAAAGAGTAACTCAAAATGATTATATTTTAAGCATAGAAAGTGAGAAGTAAGGCCAACTTTACTAATAAAGTCACATGTGAAATTTGGCTTACAATTCTGAACACAGGTGAAACAACTGAGCACTTTGTTTATAAAGTGTGTGTTCGATTTTTGTTGTTGCTATTTTTAAATCAGAAGTGTGACACCAGCCTAGAAATGTCTGAGAGCAGGGAAGCTGGAAACCACCTTGGGTCTTTCTGATGAACACTTCTATGTAGCAGATGGTCATAGTATTTAACTTGAAATTGGTTCTTGGTGCCTATTGCAGTTTGAGCTCTTTCTTGGGCCAGCCTAAGGTTTGCACCTGTGTGACACACAAAGCCAGGTGAAGGCAGCCTAAGTGAGAGGAGGACATGGCGTTTTTCTTTAGCATAGAGCAGGTGGTTAGGCTGGAGCCTATTCCTCCAGTCTGCAGGCCTGTCTGGCTCTCCCCTGGAAATCCAGATGGACACATTTTGATTGTCCCATGAAAGTCTGTATAAGGGGTTAGCCTGCTGGCTTTGAGTTGCAATTTACTAGGCTGGTCCATTTGGTTTCCTCTTGTCCCTGGTGCTACTGTTTGCTTCAGCCAGCGACAAGCTGGGGACTGCACCTTGATGAACAATGTAGGTGGCAGGCAGAAGTGACTGGCCAGCACTTGAGATCAGGTAGCACGATAATAACTGCCAGTCTTGAAGAACTCGTAGAAGACAGGTCCCACCCACTTAGCAACTCAGCATCTTAGACATAACAAGAAACTACAGAAGACAGAAATCCCAGAACGCTTTCCCCTCATTTAGATGTCATGATAGGCGGTGTCCTTCTGTATATATGCTTTTCTTATTGGTTGATAAATAAAACATTGTTTGATCAATGAGGCAGGAAGATAGTTGGGACCAGGGCGAGAAAAATTCTGGGAAAGGTAGGAAAAGAGAGCCTGCCGTGTAGGCTGCCAAAGGAATAACAGGTCTGGGCATTTGCCGATAAGCCAAGACTATGTGGAAATACATAGATTAGTAATTATGGGTTAATAATTAGCACAGAGCTAGCCAATAAGAAGCCCTAGACCTTTAGCCAACAGTTTAATAATTAATATAAGTCTTTTGTGTTTATTTGGGGCTGAGAAGGGAACCAGGCTGGACAAGAAAACTGCTAGCAACGATGGGCCCTTTACCTATGGTGGCCTCTTATCTTCCTAGTAGATTATTTTCATAGTTTCAACTTTAAATCTCTATCAGAAGCAGACCTCCAGGTTATGTGTAGTCAGTGGAATGTCAGCAACATCCACCCTCAAAGCTCTTCTCAGACTCCATAAAGAACCAATGAGGGATGACAAGAATGGAGATACCATAATAGAGGGAGACATTTTAGGTTTACAGAGAAATCAGGCACTAGAGAAATGTCTGGAGATCTACAAAGATGACACCAGTTAACAATCTAAGCAACAGAGGAGAGGCTACCTTAAATGCCCTCCCCTGATAATGAGATTGATGACTGACTTATATGCCACCCGATAGCCATCATCCAGCAACTGGTGGAAGTAGAAGCAGACACCCACAACTAATCACTGAACTAAACTGGAATCCAGTTGCAGAGAAGGACAAATGAGGAGCAAAGGGGTCCAGACCAGGCTGGTGAAACCCACAGAAACAGCTGACCTGAACATCGGGGAGCTCTTGATCCCCAGACTGATAGCTGGGATACCAGCATGGGACTGATCCAGACCCATGGGTTTCAGTGAGGAAACCTCAGAAATACATGGGACCTCCTGTAGTAGCTCAGCATAGGTGTGGATTTTGGGAGCCCATTCCACACAGAGGAATACTCCCTGAGTAAAGACACATGGGGTTGGGTCTAAGCCCTATCCCATCAGATGTGATAGACTCTGATGACACCCTATGGAAGGCCTTACCATCCAGGGGGAGCAAAAAGCATATGTGATAGGTAGGGTTTTAGTTGGGGGGATGGGTGGTAAGGGAGGAGGGGCAGGAGAGGGAACTGGAATTATCATATAAAACAACCTTGTTCCTAATTCAAATAAAAAAATCTACAAAAAAAAAGAACCAATGAGCACTTCCAGTTGGGTGGTGTCATGGTTGATTCCAATTTTCAATTTGACTAGGTTAAGGGACGCTTATTGCTATAATTAAGCACGTATTTGGGTGTGTCTGTGAAGGTGTTTTCAGAGAACTTTAAATGAGGAGGGAAGTCCCACACTGAAAATACATGCCACCATCCCATGGAGTGACAAGAAACAAAAACCTAAGAGCTACTTGTTGCTTGAAGCAAATGCCTATGCATCAATGGCTAAAGATAAACTTATATTTTTGTTTAGCTTTTTCTATTCTTAACATAGAGTTTGAAGCCTAGAATTCTTGTTCATCGATTCTTCCAGAAGCCCACGGCACAGACACATCAAGATCATGGATGGATTGGGCACAAACTAAGCGTTCTCACCTGCAGCAGATGACAGCTTTGCACGAGAGCGCTAGGTCCAGGAAACTTCTGCGAACTTCAAAGGAGAGCGCATACTTCAGGGTGTGGCCATCGATGATGAGAGCTATGTCATTCTCTTTGCCCAGCAAATTTCCCAGGTCTGTGCAGTGCTGAGTGATGGCAGCCCTTGTTGCCTGGAAAAAGTGGGAGAAGATGATGTCTGTGGGCTTCATAATACAAGGTGAACTTCAAGTTCCTTGAAAGGAGAAGATGGGACAAGGAAAAACACACAGTTCCACTTGGTACAGTCACTGGCATGCCCTCTGTGGCTGTTTGATGGGTAAAACATCCTGAGAGCAAGAGACCCTATGATATTTACAATTATTTGACCTGGCAGAAGTGTGTTGCCTAGTGATGCAAATCTCATCCCCAATGGGACACTCTCTCTCCATTCTCTCTCTCTCTCTCTCTCTCTCTCTCTCTCTCTCTCTCTTGTATAATGATGTACATATATACATATACATATATGTTTAATGATCTTTAAAAAGGAACCTCAACAAAATACACAAGTTTTAAAAAAGCATTACTGGAACTTACAGGACAAACACTAACATTTCTCAGTTTGCACAAGATAAAGATTTAAATGGCCCAAAAATATGTTTACCTGAAGATTAACTTGCACATTTACTGAGCACTTCAGATCTGACTGTTTTCTCCATGTATAAAGGAGATAAGAAATAAGCTGCTCATTGTCACATGGAAGAAAGTGTATAATCAAATCAAACTGCTCATACCAACCAAACCACTGCCACCAGCCTAAACAAACACTGTGAGGTGTGTATTGTTACACAAAAGCATGAAAGTCATTCCTATAATTAATAAAAGATGTTCTCGTATGGAGGAATGTATACGCTCAAATATAAGAACGCACCCTTTGACTGATTTAAAAATGTAGCTTACATTTGTTCAGAAAGTACAAAAATACACCGAAATCATTCTTTCTGGACAAGGGATCTTTTGTCTATGAAGCTACATGTTCATGTAATTTGCCTTATGGTAACCTAAAGTGTGGTTTTGAAGTTTGACGGACAGGCATTTTTCTTTCCCTCGTTACACTGAAGCTCACTGCTACTGACAGTGAGAAACTGCTTCCACTGTCTCTCTGCCCAGTTTTCATACTCAGTGAGATACCAAGACACAGAAAGGGTTGTAAGGACATGTGTTCTGGAACCTCACACTGTGGCTGGATATCTTATTTTTTTTAATAGAAATACATATAACTTAAGTTAGCTCTAGTCCAAACTCCACACTTTCCACCTCTTTGACATTGGGCAAGAGAAGTCACCTCTTTAAGCTGCATTTCCTCATGAGGCTAGGAACACTTCCCAGCACTTTAGTTATGAACAAACTGGCTGACCCAAGTAAGGACTGAATACGGGTTTGGCACACAGTTAACACTGAATGTACTCCTACCATTTAGTCATGAGGAGTGTCATATATTGAGGAAAACACACATGACAGTGAATAAATGCCACCACCAATAGAGCTTTGCCACTGTGATGAGAGATGAATAATTAACAGAACAATGCACTCCCAGTCAAAGTTATACTGATTTCTGTTAGAAAAAATAGAACTTGATGCCTTTTATCCCCAGTTCTACCACTCTGAGTCTCAAGGAAGCATTTTGGAAGCATCTAGATTTTTCAATGATTTATTTATTTTTGTTATGTGCATTGGTGTTTTGCCTACATCTTTGTCTGCTGGATTAAGGGTGTTGGATCTCCAGGAACTGGAGTTACAGACAGTTGTGAGATGCCATGTGGGTGCTGGGATTTGAACCAGGGTCCTTTGGGAAAGCAATCAATGCTCTTAACCACTAAGCCACCTCTCCAGCCAGGAAGCATCTATAGTTATCTATGGAAACAACCTGGCCTTTAGCATTTGGATGGACAGAAGAAAAGTTTTTCCACTTTGCTAAGAGCTGGCTTGACAAGGCAGGGGTTTCTTCTGCCAGGGGTCTATTCATGCAGGACGGAAACCCTCCTGAGACTACACTACTGATGGGGCATGGTCCTATTGCTTCAGCAGACCACAGTCTAGCTCAGTGCCGTCCATGCCAGTGGCTGCCCCATGGTCATGCCCTGGCCCAAGAGGGAAAAGGCTGTTGAATAAAATTCCCTGAGATACAGAGATCCCAGCTCTCATATGAAGGCATACCATACATAGAGACATTGAGGAGAGAGAATTAGTGCAGCCTTTAACCATTGGGGGCAGAGGCTCCAGCTTTGGCTGCTGAACACCATCAGCACAGGGGTGGGGGTGGGGCAGCTCCGGAGCTGGAAGAAGGAGGGTGTTTTCAGAACCAGAATGAGCAGTGGGAAGATGACAGAAAGGTGACACTGTGGTTTGAATGTGTCCTCAAAGTTCCCGTAGAAACCTCATCCCAATATGCCAGTATCGAAAGGTGGGACCTAATGAGGGTCATCAAGTTCCTGTCCCCAGAAGGAAGTGACAGAAGTATTGCAAGAATGAGTGTTTTTAAGAGCAACTAATTCTTGTCTGTCCACATCCCTCTCAGTCTTCTAATTAGGAAGACAGAGCAAGAAGACTGTGCCGGCTAGTTTTGAAAAAAAAAAGAAAAAGAAAAAGAAAAAGAAAAAAGTCAAAACGCCATGACCTTGTCATTAGAGAAGGGAGGACTTCAGTTGAGAACATGCTCCCACTAGATTGACCTGTGAGCAAGCTTATGGGGCATTTTCCTCATTGATGATTATGGGAGAGGGCACAGATCACTGTGGGCTGAGCCACTCCACGGCTGATGGTCCTGGATGCTGTAAGAAGTCAGGCTGAGCAAGGCCTGAGGAGCAGGATGGTAAGCAGTGATCTTCTGTGCCATCTGCTTCAGTTCCTGCTTTGAGTTCCTGGCCTGACTTCCATTGGTGATGGAGTATGACATAAACTGAAGGAATCCTTTCCCTCCCCAGGTTGTTTTTGGGCATGGTGTTTTATCACAGTGATAGAATCCTAACTAAGACAAAGGTCTTTGCCAGATGCAGCCTTCAAACTAGCATTTCCCATCCCACACGATCAAGGGCCAAATACATCATTTCTTTTGTTCATGAACCACTAGGTCTGGGTATTCTGCCATAGAGCAGAAAGTAGGCTAAGGCATGATGCCTGGAAAAGTTATGATTCTGAGATGTGTACAACTTTCCTTCCCCAGGCAAGCAAAAGACAGGGCCTGAAAAAGTCCTAGAGTTTCCATAGCAACAGAGGCCCTGGAACAGAGCAGCGCTCACATCCACTCTCCTTGGGAGTCACTTTCCATCTTACAACTCTGGAAGCAAAGGTCTTAACCATAAAAGGTATTCCTTGAATCCTCCCAAATTACCAAATAAAGCCCTGCTATAAAGTAGAGCCTGGAGGGGTGGTCAGATCACAAGGGTGGAGTCTTGTGACTCCACAAGGGTGGGGTTAGTGTAGTGTAAATGGAAGTGTGCTTGCTTTTCCTCCCTTCCTCCCTTCTTCCCCTCCCCCCTCTTCTCCTCTCCCCTCCTCTCTCCTCTTCCCCCCTCCTCCCCTTCCTTCATCCCTCCCTTCTCTTGTCTCCTTTTTCTTCTTCTTCTTTTACACCATGTACAGGATGCAGCAAGATGGCAGCCACCTGCAAACCAGCATCTCACCTTGATCTTGACTTCCAGCCCCCAGAAGCATGAAGAAAGTGCCTTTTCTACTCTCAGGGCCCATGGTGGTTTTGCTATAATAGAAAGATTTGACTAAGCCAAAAGGCAGCATCTCAGGGGGGTGAGCTCCAGGGTTCTTGTCATCAGAGACACACTTGGATGAAACAAGCACAGCACCAAGAGGACACCGTGACTGGAAGAGTAATGCTGACGCCATGTTGGGACTTTGGAAAAGGCCTTTCAGTGAAGACCTCTGCTACAGATGCTTGCACAGTGCACGGAAGGAGACCCACATGCATAGAGAGCTACAGAGTCTGGGGTAATCTCTGTGCTTTAAATTCAGGAAGTCTAGGAAGTCTATAAGGAACAGAAACTTAATTGGCTCAAGGGAATAGAGGCTCAAAGTCCAAGATTAAGAGGCCAGCATTGGTTGACAATCCTTCATGTTGTGTCACCTCATGGCAGAAGGGCAATGGGGGTCAGAGAGAGAGGAAGGGAGGGAGAGGAAGAAATAACTTAAAGCCTTAAGTTCTTCTATGCAACATTAACCCATTCACAATTACCTATTGTTAGGTACCACCTTCCAACACACGAACTTCAACAGACACATTCACACAGTAGCAGTCACTTATACAGAGTGGGAAGATGGGACAATGCTACTACAGTTGGGATACATGTAAAAGTGAATGTTGGCATACCATGGCTGTATTAGACATCAAACTGCACATATACAGTGGCTACCCTCTCTAAAGAGAGAACCAAACACTACTAAGATGTTTCACATTTTATATTCTATTAACCATGAATTTTCTCACATAGATTAAAGTGCATGCATAACTTTCTCAAGCAAAGGAATCAGTTGTGTTAGTTCAAGTTGTGTGAGCTAAACCCTATATTTTTATCAACTAATCATACCTACCTGGCTACCTTTCTACCCAGGTAATAAAAACAACAAGACACAGACATACAAACTTTATGTAATCTACTCTTGTGAATCTTACAGTGAAACCAAGATGAGAAGTCTAAAAAGAGTTGAGGAATATACAAAAGTAAAGATGAAGTCCACAAGCCTCTCCCTTGAACATTCTGTGTGTTGTCACTGATACGTCCTATCTTGATGTCTTGCTCTGGTTCATGTCTGTGGTAGGCTATGATTACACTAACTTGCAAGCTTGATGAAGTCATTAACTCCTCTTGCCAACCTTTGCCCACACTAAGCCATAGCAGGTGCACTATGAAGGTGCTCAACTCAAATGAACTGATATAGTTAGGCACTGATTCTGAATGTTCCCAGATATTATCTATGAAAAAATATTTGTAGGTCTTAGGTATCTCTTTGACTTCCTCATAGTCTATCCAGCCTTCCTTTCAGGGGCACATTTAGTTGTATTTTCCTTAAAAAATATTCTGTTCTTCAATATTTCTTTCCCACTCTATCCATTCACAACACTGACTTTGCCTTGGAGATTTCAAACTTCTTAACACATCTGCAGCTTTATCATCCCAGCTCT